GGCCCCGATTCTGGAACGGAAACATTAAAGGTATGGCCGGTTTGGTGAGAGTGAACGGACAGACCTACGAGTTTATGGGTCACCCGACTCAGGACGACATCGGCACCAAATTGCAGGCCAAACAGGTATCCCTTAAGGTGACTCCCACTCAGTCTATGTTCACGTTCAATACCGGCCCCATCGCACTGGCAGTCAATTTCTTCACACCCATCGACCCGACAGATCTCAAGCGACTGTCACTCCCGGCCTCTTATATATCGGTGAGCGCCTGGTCTCTGGATTCGGACACTCATGAGGTTGAGGTATATCTCGATATATCTGCCGAATGGACTTCCGGTGATTCCAATGAAGAGGTGGTTTGGGAAGTGATTGAAGTCATAGGAAATAATACTATACTTAACGCCGATATGAGACTCAAGAATCAGAAAACCTTTGAGGAAACAGACCGTAAGTATAAGAAATATGTTTCTATACTTTTATAATTAAATTAAATTTATTTGTCTCATAACCAGAATTTGAGGCCCAATGGGGAACAGTCAAGTTCTTCACCGATACCACAGTCACACATGAGGTATATACTGATCATAATTGAAAGTACCAGGGATATAATAAATGGTTTACGCCATTAGATCAATGCCTGTCCAACAATGCGCTCACATTTTGTAAAGAATGGTAAACTCGACAATACTATTGACCAGAAGTTCCGCAAAATCAACGACAACTGGCCGGGTGTCGGATACGCCCGCACTATGACTGCCAGTCCACTGAAAGATAAGGCGCCCAGTGTTGCCTACTATGGTGTGGCACACGTCAGACGACCCGCTATTGAATACACGGACTCCCAGTTGAATCAACTCTGGGAAGACTATTTCAATGGCGATGACAATAAAATGGTGCAATTTGTCTACGAGGACATGGAGGACGCCCTTAAACGTGCCAATGATCTCGACGACCGGGTGGTCGCCGACGCTAAGAGGGTTGGAGGGGACAGTTACGTCAAAATAGTGTCAGCCGCGCTCAGACAGGTATAACTTATGTTGCGTAAAATACTGTACAATAAATGTGACCTGGGCAATTGTTTAAAATGTATTTTTTTTGGTAAATTAATGCTTTATCTGTTTGATAGGCTTACGGCGCTATTGAACTGATGGGCACAGTATCCAAGCCATGGATGATGTTGAAGGAGATCTCATCCAATGGCAACTGTCAGACAGTGGATGTGATTTACCCTCACTTTCCCGTTCAGTTATATCTGAACCCAACTCTATTGCGACTCCTTATGGAGCCATTGCTCGACAATCAGGAGAGAGGGTTCTTCCCCAAGAAATATAGTATCCATGATTTGGGGACTCATTATCCCCGTTGTATTGGACACAAAGACGGCGTACAGGACAAGTCCTAATAGTAAATAAAGTAATTTCTTTTCAATGAAAATTTCTGAATCTTTTTTAACTTTTTGTTGCAAATATTTTGGCGACAACTTTCACTATAGAAATATTTCTAAACAAAACTTTTCTTGAGTGAAAATTATATGTTCATTATTTATTTAAAACTCAAATAAAATATATTTAATTTTTTTGTATTAAAAATTAATTAATAATCATGTCTAATAAATTATTATTAATATTTTGTGTACCATTGCTATTCATTACAATATGTTTTCATACATTAAATTGTGAAGAGTTTAAACTCAATGATAGTGTGGAATGGGATGATAGTAGCGGTGGTGAGACTGACGAGTCCACAGACAATGACTACAACTTTAGTGGTTCCGGTGATGGAGAGCCCCTGGATGACGATGATGGCTGTCCACAGACTAACAATTTTATAGATAGGATACGACTTATGCACGAAGAGTACCGAAAAGAGTCTCAAAATAATACTAAACATAAGAAGTTTGACATCGAGTCCAATACACAACATGTGTTGAACAGACTCTTTGGTTTGGATCAGAGAAACAAATTGAAACTCTTGGAGACCCTCTCGGAGGTAGACCTGGGGCTGTCCCCCGAGTGTACTCAGGCTTATGTTCGCATTGGACAGGGGTTTAACCGCATGGAGCTCTGGGCGCTGAGATGTAAGTCTCATATTTTAACTTTAATGTCTATATTTTAAATAATACAAACTTTAATAAATTTTAACTTATAGATCATTTTATTATACTAACATTGCTTTCATAGTTAATAATTAATAATTATGTAATAAAATATATATTAATTAATGTTTAAATAAATAATGTTTAAAACTTATACTTTATAATTAAAAGTCAAAAGTATCTATGTTATTTTATATATTTCTTTAATCATTTTATGCAGTCTCTTATAATATACATAAAAATTGTGATAAATTATATTAAAATGTGTGAAACTATGGATACAGTCGTCGACTCGATGGCTAACTTTCCGCCGTCGGGTTTCTTCGAGGGCTCGTTCGCCGATTACGGAGAGTTCGACGAATGCCTGAACGTCCGGAGCCCTCATGATGTCGTGCCCGCCATCAAAGGCCAGTACTGTCTATCAAAGCTTATATTCCCGTTCCCATTAAAAGACGAGTCAACTGATCCCGAGTATGAGAAGCAAAATATGACTTTCTTTTTGAAACCCACCGAAGACTTCGACACAAATGCAGTCACTGTTAGGAATCTGATCGAAGCGCTCAATATAGTGAACGGAACGGTATATTCTTTGGGGGTATGCCTGCCATCGGTCTGTACGGCCAATGAGGTCCAGACTATGATTAATCAGAGTATGAGACTTAATAATGAACATGTATTTATTTAGCTAACATGTTGTTGTTTATTATTTAACATTTATTATAGTATTGTATCCAATCATACGACTGCCCATCGAAGTAGACCAGTGCCGGGTCAGAGACACCCCAATCACTGTTGATGACTATCAATATGTCTCAATGTCTGTGATATTTATTTTTATACTTTTACATTGATACTGACACTTAATTCAGTGTCTTAAAGTCTATTACTAGTAATATATTTTAACAATTAATTCTTATAAAATATTCTGTAAATTATAACTTGTAAATATNCTGTGATATTTATTTTTATACTTTTACATTGATACTGACACTTAATTCAGTGTCTTAAAGTCTATTACTAGTAATATATTTTAACAATTAATTCTTATAAAATATTCTGTAAATTATAACTTGTAAAAATATTTTCTTATCTAAATAATTATGTTTTATTAATCATATTTATTTATTACCGGTTTAATGATTATTTGTCTAATAATTTTTATTTTATGTGAATTTTATTTAAATTTTTTTTACTTATTTAAATAACTACATTATTTTACAGTATAATCTTGGCCACACTAACTGGACTTGTTATATTTGGGAGTTTAGTCGACTTATACATCCATACGATAAGCATTGGTGAAATCAACGACAGTACAGACACTGAATCACAAAAATCATCCAAAAAGTTGACACAAATTGTTACTTCATTTTCTATATTCAATTCAATTGAACAATTATTTATGAAAAGTAACGCCAAATACGCGACACTCGACACGTTACGACTGTTGCTTATACTGAACGCCCACTTAGTCCACGCCTATATGTACTGTGATATTTATTTTTATACTTTTACATTGATACTGACACTTAATTCAGTGTCTTAAAGTCTATTACTAGTAATATATTTTAACAATTAATTCTTATAAAATATTCTGTAAATTATAACTTGTAAATATTTTCTAATCTAAATAATTATGTTTTATTAATCATATTTATTTATTACCGGTTTAATGATTATTTGTCTAACAGTTTATATTTTATGTAAATTTTACTAAAGATTTTTAGTGTTTATTTAAAAACTATATTATTTTACAGTATAATCTTGGCCACACTAACTGGACTTGTTATATTTGGGAGTTTAGTCGACTTATACATCCATACGATAAGCATTGGTGAAATCACCGACAATACAAACACTGAATCACAAAAATCATCCAAAAAGTTGACACAAATAGTTACTTCATTTTCTATATTCAATTCAATTGAACAATTATTTATGAAAAGTAACGCCAAATACGCGACACTCGACACGTTACGACTGTTGCTTATACTGAACGCCCACTTAGTCCACGCCTATATGTTGACCTATACCCTGGGCACTAAGACCCTGAAACGGGTGGTCAGTTACGCGTTGCCCAGATTTTTCTCGTACAGTCGCTATATTGTAGTCAAAAGTCCGCTTATGATCGACGCCTTGTTTACCTTAAGGTCTGTCCCCTTAATACAGAATCTATCTGTAATTCAATACAAGAATATGTTGTTTGAAATAAATGATTAATTCCGTATGTTTTCAGTGGTTTTCTAATCTCATTCACTCTCTTACGTAAACTCAACCAAACCAATGGTCGCCTCAATTACCCGCTCTTTATATTTCAAAATTGGATCCGTTTTGTGCTTCTGGTGTTTGGATCAATACTTTTCTATTACGTCTTTCCACTGCTAGAGGAGGGCCCGGTATGGGACTCGGCCACAGACCTCATGACCACCGGCTGCAAGAATCCGTGGAATTTGTTGAGAATATTCTTGTTTATCAATAACTTTCAAGAATTTCAAGTCGAGACCTTTAATCAAACAGTTAGTGTGCTTATAGATAATTTTAAAATGTTATTTTTAACGCCTGTCCACTAACTCCCAGTGCAATATCACCCTCTGGTTTATGTCATCTCTGCTACAATTCCTCATAATATCGCCGCTCTTTATAATACTGTACCATAAGAGACCTCGCGTTGGATTAATTGTCATATTTATGGCCATAATTGTGTCCCAATTTATAGCCATCAGTCCCTTCCTATTATACGGCATAAAGCCGTGGCATCAGCTCCTGTCCCGCGGACTACAGATGCTGAGCGCACACTTCAATCACTCCGTCAACTGGTTTCACACGACACCCAACGTCCATATAATCAGTTACTTAATCGGTATTTGTTTCGGATTTCTCATGAATAGCGAGGGTTTAGAGATCAGTAAGAAATGCGTGAAATTATTGTGGATCTCATCGGTGGCCGGTATTGTCGGTATGTACTACTGGAACGACACTTTCTGGAAGGGCGGCGCTGAGCCACAGTTAAGCGTACTTTTGTGGCATTCCGTCGGGAAAGTCATATTTAGTTGCAGTTATGGTTGGATTTTCTATGCTTGTTGTACCGGAAGGGGAGGTTAGTTATGAAATAGTGTAAAAACAATTATTTTTATATTAATTGCTATTTTATTGAATCTAATGACAGGAATGTTTACTAAAATCTTTTCGCACCGTATTTTCCAACCCTTATCTCGACTATCATTTGGTATATATTTATTACATTATATGGTTGTTATCCGACGAATATTTATCATTAGGCAAACTGTTTTCATCAATGATAGGATTATGGTACGGTATTTAAGATATTTTTAAAATTATCTTTTATGTTTAAACAATTAATTGTATCTTGTTAATTTATTTTAGTTCTCAAACTTAATAATCGATTTATTTATTGATATTTTGTTGGCATTTATTTTCTACATATTAATCGAGTGCCCATTTTCTAACGTATTTCGGATCGCATTTCCGCCTAAAAAACCAAATCAACAAAACTCATCACAAAATTTAAAAGTTGTAAAAACTAGTGATAAATATTAGTTTAAAATTCATAAAATAATACTAATTTACAAATTTACAAATAAGTGTACGAGATAAATAAATGATTTTATTTAATTAAATAAACATGTTACAAAGATTTTAGTGTTTAACAGTTAATGGCGCAAATACGGCCCCAATAACGGGTCTATTCATAAATTGTGGCGAAACACCAGTATTTGTGTCCACGTAGTCCGAAAAGGGCAGGTGGGTTGGGGTCTCCCTAAGCCATTGGGCAGTCCTATCAAACATGGACTGACGGAGTTTGGTATTAGTAGATGAGGCGGCCGTAAATAAAATCCAATCAAACTTGGTTTCGGGTCTACCACTCATTAAGGGAATGCCATATTTATTCTGCACAGTTAGGTACCACTCGTCCTGTTGTTTGTATATCTATTAATAAATAAAAATTGTAATAAAATGAATTAAATAACAATGTAAAACAAGTATCCAACCGATTCGGGAACCAATTTAGTTTCCAAAAGAACGTCTGCATACAGATTATAGATCATAAACCAGGTATTGTTGTCATTATAACTGAGTTTCATGTGTTTATTAGAGGGGTCTTCTCCCATACGAATCCATTCCGTCACATATTTCTCAGCGATTTGTCTATACTTTTGTTGGTCGGAGTGATTGCCGACCACTTCCGCCAACTGAGCCATAGCTCCGATGCCTATAATAGCTTTCGCCGAAAGGTTTGTCGAGTTCTTGATTTTGTTCAAAAAGTCATCAGTGGTTAGAGCGTCGCCTAAAATAAAAATGTTTTTAATACAATGTATCAATAATTGAATAATATACTGGTGTAATAATAATATAATAATATACCTGTAATTAATCCATTATCTACTAAATATTGTGTCCATTGTTTAGAGATATTATAGTGTTTTTCAGCAAATTGTTTATCATTAGTAGCCCTGACATAGGCTGACATCATGATCACCATATTGGCGCTCTCCTCCACCTCCATGTCCTCCTGTACGCCGTCTTTGTGTCCAATACAACGGGGATAATGAGTCCCCAAATCATGGATACTATATTTCTTGGGGAAGAACCCTCTCTCCTGATTGTCGAGCAATGGCTCCATAAGGAGTCGCAATAGAGTTGGGTTCAGATATAACTGAACGGGAAAGTGAGGGTAAATCACATCCACTGTCTGACAGTTGCCATCCGATGAGATCTCCTTCAACATCATCCATGGCTTGGCAGCTGTTCCCACCATTTCAGTGCCGCCATAAGCCTATCATTAAGTTATTAATTTAATTAAATCATGAATTGTTCAAAATTTAGGTTTCCCTAAATCACATTACTCGTTATAAATAAATAATTGTTAATTACAATTATAGTCGATAGTACATACAGTATTTACTTATAATTAACCATGCAAATTACGCGTAATTTATTTTTAGCGTAATTTATCAAAAATAAGCAAATTTTTATTAAAATGACATATCACCTAATTTACATGAGAATCTGAGTTATAATTAGTTATTATTTCAATGTCACTATCATTTCCCTGTTCAGAATAGGAAGAATCTGAATGGATATCATTAGAATTTGAACTATTATACAGAGAGTGAACTGGGACTAATTTT